TCTGAGCGACGTCAGGACGAACGTCAGTCTCGTGGACCTGGATAACTTCAACGGCGTCGTCGAACATCCCTGCTTTGCGGAAGTGCTGAGCAGAAAGTGTGTACTCTCCCGCATGTCGGTACGCAGCGCCTGCCTTACCGCTGTCTCCGCATCTGACATAGCACTCTGCAGCGATGCGGTAGTACGTGCGTTGGTCCTCAGGCTCTCCTGCTCCTTGGGCGGCAGCTACAAAGCCTTCAGCTGCCCTAGAGAAAGCGGCCGACTGAGACAGCTCCTTGCCACGTGCGTTGACAGGAGACATGCGGGCTGAGTCTCTGAGGTGGTACGCAAGTGCTACCCGACGCTCTTGAGCAAGACCAGCGCGCTCGAATGCATCCACTGCTTCGGAATATTGGCGCTTCACGAATAGGGAGCGGGCCGCATTCGCCCATTCCTCCTTTCGGGACGACTTTGCCAGCTTGGGGATGGGTGTACCGGGAATGTGCTCTTCGACAACGCCTTTTGTGGCCCACAGAAGCTACAAGTATCGTCTTAGCACGCACGACGCGCATCGGGACATTCATCATATGCATATTCACCCTGAGAGGTTCCGCCTTCTGGGAACAGTCTGTGATCCAGAGGTTTTGCCGGGCCCGGGTGATAGCCACGTACAGATGCTTGAGCTAAAGCGAGAAAACGTATGTGAGTAACGTCCAGAGACTCACAGGGAAAATGTCATATGATACGAGCCTCACGACAGATGCCACTATGCCGACCGTCATCATAATTTGGGGCCGGATGACCTGGGATGCTGTTCAAGAGAACACGCCACTGAGAGTAATTCATGCTTGAATCCTCGAAGAAATTGTACAGGAGCACCTAAACAAGTGTAGGGCTTAGATACACACGTCCAAGCAGGCGAATCAGGGTACTCACGTCGTCGAACTCAAGGCCCTTGCTCTCGTATATCGTCCTGGTCAATGTTCATGAGAATATCTTGGCACGGATGTCAAGAAGAAGGCGCACAGGACTTGTCCTATCTTGCCAAATTCAGATTTCAGACGGTCGCGTGCTGCATGATCCCGAACGATGATACCTACACCACGACAGGTACGGGTAGGATTAGTCCTCGCTCTGCGTTGCATCTGTATCGCGGTCTACTCACATTGCCGTGCACCAAATTCAATGACACCTCCGCCAGAACTGTGCAGTTGATGTGAGACGTGACTCCGATTTGTAGTGGAGCAGAAGAACTTACACATCTCTGAAGAGCGATTGTTGGAGCTTCGCTGCATCATGATCACTGAAGAATATAGGCTTCTCCCCCGGAGACATGCCTCTTTCCCGTGGCAGATCATCGATCGCCGTAGACCAGTAATTCGTGATGAGCTCCACAATCGAGTGCGCGCAGTCGACGATTCCGGAATGGGACCGATAGTTTCTGGTGAGATAGAAGGTCTGAGGTCGAGCACGCTTGCTGATACTTAGGGGGTTTTTCTACCACGTCCATCATGCATTAACATATAGCTTCAATGTGATTAGTGGGTCAATACCAAGCTCAAAGCTCACCTCAACGTCGTACAATTGCGCCTTCAGGTCCCCAAGCCTGAACGAGCTTCCTGCCGCGATGGTCTGAGCTGTATCCCCTGCCCAGAACAAACCATGAGGATTCGAGCACAAGGCCTTCAGGACTTTCGGAAACACGGACTCAGTAATTGCTACCCATCATAGAAGATATGCATGTACCAAGAGAATCAATGAGGAAGTTGTCTTGTGCCTCGTCGACGTATCTGTGACGTCGCTCAGGGTAGAACTCTATGACAAAAAGTAAGGACTCACATGAAGTTCAAAGCCTTCCCAGGAACTCCCGCCGCCTTCAGGCATCGTATCAGCATACGGGTTCTGCAGCAAATGCTGAGTCACGCTTGGATTACATCTGCCATGTGAGCATACCGGTCGGCGGGATCGTGGTGACCATGCAGTTTCCTCCGCTTCGTATACACCTCAAAGAGCGCATATACTGTCTCCCGTTGGGCTGGAGAAACTGTCTGGCTCCGACTATGGCCATGCCCGACGTATGTCTCCTTGTCGAGGTACCCCAAGTCCGACTTTAAGGCGCCCGCTGAACCCTTGATGACAGCTAATGACAAGGTAAGCAAAGTCACAAGTCGGCTACCTGACTAGCACCGTCCTACTCACCGACAAACTCTCCCCAAACCAAGTCGGGGTCTATACCAAAGTCAGCTTTCTGCATGTAAACGGAGGCTTGGCACTCACTCAAGGGGTTCTCGGGGAAATGGGACCAATAGATCTCGCGGAACGTGTCATAGTCCAAGAACGTATCCCTCTCTTCCTGTAAATACGCCGCAGGTCGGGTCCGAGTAGGACGAGGGCGCAACTTCATGATGTCCCGGAGGAGAGAGGCCCTATGAGCGTCGATTTTCTCCTGTTCGACGAGATGACGAAATTCGTTCTCGAGCAGTCGACAAAGCTGGTGACTCATCATTAGTATCATACCTCAAAGTACTCCCTCTGAACTCACATGGTTATAGGTCAAGAACAGTGGGAAATGGGTGTCCTCGAGGGCACCAAACCGTCGAGGGAGCGTGGACGTGTAGAATATCTCCTCGTCCTCATCGACCATCCGCTCTCGCCGAGTACGACTTTGAGAGGCTATTTCCAGAAGCTCATCCGGTGAAAGGTGTGCAGTAGCATAGGACTGGTGTAGTTTAGCATAGTACTCCTCCACTTTCTTGGCGAGAACCTGAGACTGAGTGACGAAGAGCTGCCGAGGTTTCGCCATCGCGTATCGGAAGCTGCCGGTGTCGTAGGTCCGTTCGATGCCGAGGATCTTGAACACCATCGTCGTCGTTTTCCTGTTGTGCACGTGGCGAGCGTTACAAAAGTCCGGTATACTTATGCGTATCTGATATTTGTCTTACCCGGTACCACTCCTCCCTGGTTCGAGGTCGTAGATTAGCATAGGGTGGATTTATGTATTAGTTGGACAGACGTACCAATGACGAAACACGAGGAATCATGCTCGATTATTTCCTTCTCGCGGTGTCTTCGCCACAAGAGGTGAGCGGAGAAGCGAAGAAGGGGGGGGGCTAAGCTAGACTACTCACGACACCCCGAAGACATGTGCGACGTCTTGATCCGCGAGGATGCCTATATTGAGCTTCAGCGGTGTGAGCAGGCTGATGCATGAGAATGAATGACTGACTGTTCAAGAACGCTTGAGAGAACGTCACAAACTTCTCCAAGCTTCATGCACGGGGCAATTGAGACTGTTAAAACTGATGGTATAGCTGAAACGACTCACGCAATCAATGAATGTAACTGGTAGCACAGTTCATGCAATCAGCAACAAAGGCCTCAGCACTATGGATCGGCAGTTACGCACCTCTTCCTTGTCCTCTCTCGTCAGATCCGGGTGATCTGTCGTCGACGATGACGGTGTGACCACCTCTTGCTCTGTGTCGGACCTCACTTCGAAGCTTGCCGGCAATACTGTGTAATCTCCTCTCTGATTCGAAGGTCGGTCACGGAAGATGCACCTGATGTGTACGGGCTCTCAGCATCATGCTGCTGGTAACCGGACTCGGGACATACCTTCTCCTATACTCTGGACCGTTGTAGCCAAGCTGACGGCCCATGGTGTCCCAGAATCGCCCATCGATTTGTGCGTGAGTATACACACCAAAGATGCGAATTACTGTGAGGTCGTCAAGTTGACGTGAGTTCGCAAGGGCCGCTAATGGGAAAGCATCGATCACAACCTTGGCGCTCGACCTGTGAGCAAAGTGAGTTCACAACGGAGAGTGATGAGAAGCCCAGACGTACGTTGTCCTCAAAATCGATGTCGCAGTGTATATGGTACTTTTCACGATACGTGAGCAGGATACTCGTGGTTCATAAACCTGATGCACAACTTACCACAAGACGAGAGTCCCGGGTCATTTTGGCCTCATAGATCGGGATATCGACCTCGACCCCAGTCAGCTTCTTGTGGTTATCCTTCGTGAAGTTGCCGTGCGATAGATCTCTGATACACACACGGGTACCAGTGAACAAACCAATCACTATGCCTACCATGCCGCGGTGTACTCACTTGATCTTGTTCACGATGATGTCGAACATTTTCGCGTCCTCATTTCGCCAACGACGCAAGTCTCGATCGGCGCGGGTAGACATTTGAATGCGCCAGGCTTTCAAAGCCATCCGCGTTTTCGAAGTACAGGGCAGCCTTTATCGGTTGCACCAGCGGGAACGCTCCTTGCTGGGTACCCGTCATCGGAACGAAGGGCGTCAGGGCGGTTGTCGCGCTACGTGTCCGCTGGGTGGGGATGGTGACGGTGAGAGGAGTGGGAGCAGGCGGGATAGGCAGGTATGTCGTCTTGAAGAACGCGATCGTCTCTTCTTTCCGAAACATGTTGAAAACTTCCTATATGGCCATGAGCGTTCCGCCCATCAGCGACGAAGACGTTCGCACGTACCTGTAGGATGGATGTCTGCTCCGCGACGACCGTCGTCACGAGCTCCGCCGCCTGCCGCTTCGACGTGGGCACCGGCGCGCCGTACTGGATGATGCTCTTCACGATGTCGACTGGAGGCGCGCGACCCGTGTGGATCGACCGCTTGCGCTTCTGGTGCCGCTTCTCTTCATTCTTCGCCGCCCATCTGCCAGATCCTAGTTCGTCACCCATCTGTTCCGCGAGAGCGTCTGTGGCATTTAGGTGGGTGACTGCTTGGAGGACGGAAAAGGCAAGCTCGATAGATCGTCGGTGAGCGGAGAGCACCGGCGGCGTGTCGGACGCGCGTTCGTAGGGGAGGCAGAGGGACCGAGATAATTGGGCCAAGAGTTTATACAAGAGAGAAGAGGGGTAGTCTTCGGCGGTGGATGGTTGACGCTGTAGAATCGCAATGGACAGGATTCCAAAGCCATAGTCGCTGGAAACTGTGAGGTGTTTGAGTACAGACATTCCGACAGGTAAAGAGCAGACTAACCGCACAGGACGAACTCAAGAAGATGCTGTACAGAGGTCATCAGCTCGACAACCTCGTCGATGTCGATCGACGGGTCAGCAAGCAGATGATCTAGTTTGACCACGGCGATGTCCACAGCGGCGTCACCATGGAGGGACATCTTGTCGAACAGCTCGACAACAGCCTGCCCGACAGCGCGGCCTTTGGACGAAGGATCCTTGGATTTGCTTTGTTTCGACATACTGAAGAGGTCAGCAGACACAGTTTGAGGAGACAGGTGAGATGCGAGAGGGCTAGACGCAGACGTGCAGGGCACAGATATGAAGGAGTCCTGAACAACGAGAGTCGCAAGGCACCCCATCTGGCATAATTCAAACTATAGGCGATGCGAGCATGGTAAGCTCCGCATACTCGAGGCATAAGGTTTGCCCCCTGGGCCCCGGGATGCCTTGAGGACGTGTTGTTGGCTCACTGGACTCGGAGATCATCGGCAGGATAACTCGCGTGATGTTCGTTGTCCGCACCTGAGGACAAAAGAAGCTCAGGACTTACCAAGGGCGCTGTGTTCAGAACCTTAAAGTATGGGAATGTGTCTGGTGCTGCGGTAGGTCCATCTGAGCTACAAGACACGGCGAGTTTTCCCCTGGATGCAGGAAAACGCTCGTACGAGTTACGATTCGCTGAGTGTCCATCACCTCTGCGTCAATTGAAAGTTGGCTGCAGGAACAGTGGGTTGACGATTGGTATACAATCAGCATAAAGAACGCACCTTATAGGGTGTACCCCTTGGCGGCTCTGTCCAACCGATTCCCGGGATACCGGCCATGTCGACAGCGCTACTCAAGCACCGGGTGCCCCTAGGACTTCCACTATCATACTGTTCTTCCAGTACGTGTGAGCATTGCAAAAAGCGACAAGAAGTCCGACCATAGACATGCCACGCACCCACACTTCGTGGACTGAGGCGAACTTCGGTCGGCCCTGACGCGCCCCCCCACAGCCATTGGGCGCTTCTACCGCTGAGTGACGCACCTCATCCACACCGTGACCACTACTATGGCCACCGACGCAGGAGTACTTTTCTTTCGTTCTAGATCCCGTTTATTGCCCGGAGAGGCCGTGGTTCATGGTATGCATTGAATACAAGTGCTGTCTACGTGAACAGGGAAGGATGTCGGGCTGTACATTGGTGAGCCCAAAGCTTGTGCGAGCTAGGGGGAGGTATAGGGAGGCATCAGTGAGGAGGGTACAAGAGCAAGGCCTAGGCGATGACCGGGATTGTAGGGGTACGCAAAAGGAGAGATGGGCTCAGTACCTATGCGTTGTGATCGCCCGTCCACCCCCGTCAGAACTCCCCCGCCCCTAGAGTGGGCGGACGCCCGCAACGCATAGGTACAAGGCAGTCTTTTCGATACATGCTTGACAGACAGGTGTACGAAGGGGCATATTGATGTACTGAACACTTGTGAGTACAAGCTAGGAGGACTTGGCTGTTATCAGCACGATGGTGCGCACACGAGGGGTGGCTGAAGAGGGGAATGCAGCGTAGTCATGCGACACCGAACTTGATATCTCTCAAAACCACTCAAAACGCGATCAGAATAGCGAGAGCACAGTGCGAATCGTCGTGTATACATACACAGCTCGGGCATACACGCCCCAGCCCATGGATCTCAGAACGTGATCTTGGTCGGGCCCTTGGGCGTCGGGATGTCGTCGCGGAAGAACGCCCCGTACGCACTGTGCGTCTTCTTCTTGATCGTCATCGGGAACTTGTGCAAGCCCTCCGCCTCGAACCCGCTCTCCCTCAGTACCCGCGCCAGCTCTCCCGCCAGCGCGCGCTCGTGCGCCTCCCCCGTGAAGAACGTGATCGACTTGCCGCTCTTGCCTCCCCG